ATTATTATTATTATTTATATTTAATATCATATTTATATGAAGTTAATGCCAAAGATACAACATACAACAAATGTATATAATTAATTAATTATAATTTATAAAAAATTCAAACTATTTACCCCATTGCTAAAGCATATATATCTTGTCTTTTCTCTTTCTCTTCTTCACAGATCTTGTCTATTCTTCTTTCTAAGGCCAGTCCAAGGTTTAGAACTTTGGGGTAGTAAGGCAGAATCTACATAATGGGATTATTTCAGTAGGAATAACATAAAAACATGACTGTTATGTAGAAAATGTATTACCTTTGTTAATACCATTATAGTATTTCTGATCTGTGTGTAATCCTTGGACTCAAGACATACCACCAAGGCCTGCAACATGTAACATAGTTTATGCTATTTGATACTTRTGTTTTTAACAAATACAGGGTATCCAAAGTTTAGATACTCACTTACTAGTGGRTACTAATGATACATACCTTAAGCACTTTGGACAATAAGTGGATAATAGCGCTATATAAATAAAATTMTTTATTCATTTATTACCTTGGTTAGTTTGTACTGCCATTTATGGCAGACATGCCTGAAGTTCTCATAATCTAGATGATCAGCCTTGTCTGTGTTGGTTGCTCTTAAYACTGTCACAAACCCTGGGTAACTCCCACATTCCTGGAGAAACAGAAKGAAACAGTGCATGATAAATGGTAGATGGTAATGTAAAATTATTGTTCATACAATTTTAAATACTTGTTACTATATTTCCAGAATGGTAGATTGAATAAACTGATTGATTGATTGATTAGATAGCACAAAAAAATGAATCAAGAAACATTAAMAAAGGTACCTTTTCATAAATCTTTTTGTCACCATGCCAACGCATGACAATTTCAAGCATAGAACAAAGAAAGCGACCTAAATAAAATACAATGTATAATCATCACTACACTGCCAYCATAAAGTATACATCATCAAGCAGCCCCATAAATACAGCAGGTACAGAGTTAGAATATTTAGATTTACCATATCTGCTGGCTTCGTTCTCAGTACAGCTTGCTACTGTGTACGAAATATCTGAAAACACCTGAAAAATATGACAGCACATTAATCATGAAATAAGTCTCTCAATTTGTACATTGTGGATTAGAAAACAATATTTGAATGAACAACACGATATTCAATTGTAATAAAATCATTTCATGCATTGTCCTTTCTAAGTTACATGGCTATCTAGTGGTAAGCATCTGGATTATGGGAATTACAGACAAATGTTAGGAGATAAAATGTCCTTACCCTATCAAAACAAAGGAGTGTAGAGAAGTTAGGGGTCTTGAGGTTGTGCAGGGTGTGTACAAACTTGGCACAGTAGATTGCATCACTAGCAGTGAAGACACACCGTGGGAACATGCACAACTGAAGGAACTGGGTTATAGTCTCACTCTTGGTGGATTCTATTGAATGATAGCAAAAAAAAAAACACAAAGGTAAATTAAAATGCCAACAAAGGGTCTACAACTGAAGAAACTGTAGTCATCACTTTTTAACTTAAAGATAACCAAAAGACAAAGGAGGAATGGAAAGGGAAAAGAGGGAAAAGGAAAGGGAAAAAGATTTAATGTTAATGCAGATAATAATTATCCTTACTAGAGGGAAACCAAGAATCACGTTCATGCTTCAGCCAAGCCATCACACACTGATTATTTTCTTCTTGTTCTCGTTGTTCACTTTTYAGTTTGTCAATCAGCTGCACCCATCTCTCTTTGTCCTTCTTCTTTTTACTTGCAGCCTTTTAAAAATCACAAGCRAATAAAGAGCTTAAAATCCTACAACACAATACATAATGCAACATATACTAGCACTACCAGAATACYTTGCACACYTTCTTTWCTTTCATTGTGTTAAGATTTGCAAAGCATTCTGTTGTAGTAAGTTCAAACTATCTATTTACTTTATGAACAATCCATCTTAAGATTCTTTGTACTTACCATTTCTTTATTGTCTTCTAGTTGCATTATTTGTGATTTAAATCGTTGTATCTCTGCCTCATATCTCTCCACAGGAACATGAACATTGTACATTGATAAAGACCAAAAGGTAACATACAACTGTGGACTAGATACAATCATAAGATTGTCAATGAATATATCAGACAGACAGACAGATAGATGAAGTATTAATCACTTGGTACCTGATGTTGTTCCAGACTTTGGGTGTCTGAAGAAGTCTTGCACTTTGTACGATGGGCTCAATGACAGAGTTAACTGCATCAGTATAGAGTTGGTAGATCACCTGCAAAACAAGCACCACGTTAAATTGACAGTTTTGCCTTGTTATTAATTTGATCCCAAAAMAACCCCTGTTCCTCTCCCCCAAACATGGTAATCTCCCTGGGAGTGACAATTGCTTGAGAAATGCTTAAACCCTTTTAAAAGGGAGAAAGAAGACAAGAATGAATACTCACTTTCTGTGATGGAGGCTTGTCTCCTTTGGTTGAAGCTTTCACAGATTCATTGAATTTTAACTGTAATGATAAAATAGCAGCATGTTGWGATGTATGTCTAATGTTGTCTCGTGCAGCCATGCCTAATGCATGTGACAACAATGTTATACATTACCTCAATTTGATGCTGAAACATTGGTCTTGAGAGATAGAATGCTACCTCTGGAGTTAGATGAAACTTTTGTCCCAAATCACTTAATGATGGCAAGTTAGCTTCATATTCATCTGCTGTCATCTGACTGGCTAGAAAACCACYGAACTGGACAAGAGTGTCTTGACACTGGACAAGAAAACAAACATTAGRCACTCCTACATGTATTGTAAAGAAATTGATTTACTAGAACACTAACCTGGTCATATAGTTTACCAACAAGCTTTAAATGTCTAGTATCATCTTCAAAGAACACTATACCATTCCTCTGCTGAGCCATTAAGATACAAAGAGGAAGAGCAAGAGCTCCATCTACCACTGCATCACGCAGCCTCTGCGATGACTTTTTAGTGTTTCTTATCTGGCCAAAATAACCTCCCTATCACAAAGCATATCATTATTTAATYATTATTAGGTATTCCAGTGTGAGACCAACCAGCTTTAATAACATGTTTTAATATGTTATTTTATTTAGAACTATAAAACTGGCTGTTCAATGGCTGGAAATGATGACGGACCACATCAGACTGATCAACATAATTATGTAACCAGTCCATGTGACCAGTCCATGTAACCAGTCCATGTGACCAGTCCATGAGACCAGTCCACGTGACCAGTCCATGTGATCAATCAATGTGACCAGTCAATGCGACCAGTCAATGTAAGCAGTCAATGTGACCAGCCAATGGGACCAGTGAGGAAGACCAGTCTAGGGAACGTAAGACCAAATGTTTTTAATTTCAGCCCTGATACTGATTAGGACTGTAAAGTAATTCGTGAATCACGCCAGGTCGCGCCAGGTCGTTTTCTACGCCTTGGTCCACATATCGGCGCGCTCGCGGCCGAGTTCTCGATTCGGTCAATTATTTTCACTTATATTTTAATTTTTTCTTATATTTTCATTTWTTTTATTTTATTTTTATTTTTTTAAGGACCTCCCTGAAAATCATTTTTATGAGTGGAGTATCCTCATTAAATATTATTATTAGTAACCACTATCAATGATGCCAGAGAGTTAAAATAGTAGGGACATACCTCATTCTTGAGCAGCTCTCCTCCACACAGAGCTTCCAGTTGAGACATGGTGACTTCTTCAGAGATCTCCAGGCCAGACATTTTCTGTACAACCTCCTTGAGAACAAGTAGGTCAAAACTTTTACCAGCTTTGAGCTGATTGGTTACATATTGAAGGAGACCAGTCAACTCAATTGGATACTTCCTGAAGACTGTGCCACAGAACACTGCCAAACCTATACGATACAATGAATTACAATCAGTAACCTCTATTCCATTTCCTTGATTTCTTGTTGATAATTCTAATATACTTACTCTTCAGCCAATCTGATATGTTTGTGTCTTCAAGCTTCAGTCTTTCCTTTTCAGGGTTTGCTAGTGCTTCTATTATGCAGACTTCATAACAGGTTAAGTAAAATACAAATTACTGTACATATTCCTGCTTGGTTTACTGCATTTTGACAGAATCAAATAAATTAGAAACAGAAATGTAATTTTTCCTACAGAAGGAAAAAAACAGACTAATCCACCTGTAATCCATATTTTGAAAATAGCTTTTTTATTTTAATTTCAACATTTCTGAAACTTGTCTATAGAACACAGGTATAAGCTACTTTAAACGCCCTACACTTTTATTACCTAAAATCATATAATTTCCCTTATTTGTATTACAATATGTATTCATATATTATATCCTGTAAATATACAACTGTATATAAAAAAAAGTGCAAATAAACAAGTTGAAGTTGAAGTTTTCTCCAGTGATCAGGGTAGGATTAAAAAAGTGATCATCGTTTAAAGAACCATCCATAGTCATAATATGGTTAAAGGATACATGCTAGCACATCATATGCCATCTGGGTGAGATACTTGAGAGAATCCACTACAGGACCAATGAAATTATCATACTTTTGGATTTGTGTTAAAAGCTTTGAAAAAAAGGAATAAAGCTCAAGTTAGATGTTTCTGCATATAGTATCAACAACTTTGATAGTGATCTTCCAGACTTACATATTCAAAGACTACTCCAGGATTACTATGGCTGATTTTACCAATTTGACGTCCAGAAGGTTTGACATTCTCTCTTGTAAGACGTCTGATAAAGAAAGACAAGAGAGTGCATTTCTAAGATAATATCTAAAATTATACAGCTTTGCCCAGTGGCCCACCCAACAATGAAAAATATTACAGATCAAGAATTTTTAAAAGGGAGGTGACTGTTGTTTTATATCCCTTTTACGGCAAAGTATACCATTAAATAAGGGGGAAAGGTGTCTCATAAACAATATCCTGAAATATGTGTTGTAAATTGTACTTACTTGGTGATGTATTTAGCTTTTTTGATAGTCTCAGCTTTGACTTTGATCAATTCCATATATTTATCATAAGATTCATTTTTCCATTGTCCATAGAGTCTGTACCTGTGAAAACAATGACAGTGCATTATTGGACTGCAAAAAAACATGGATGCATGCATTGTCATAAAATTCTTATCCTGGCATGCTTATAAATGAGTTGTTTTCTCATCACACAGTCTAAACGCTGTACAGTAAATGTATGACTAGATTTAAAAGTCTTTAAACTAAAAATGTAGTTCAGTTATAACCTCCTGTTTAAATCTTTGATTGTAAGGAACAATGATAAGGAATAATTACGGTAACAGTCCTATGTCTGTGGGGGAACGAACAAGTCAAGCAAAATCTCTTGCCTGATGTCAGAATCCCACATTGTTTATCTAGGAAGATGGATGATAAGTATTGTGAAAATGAAAACACAATACTTTCAAAAATGGAATCCTACTTCCACTAGGGAAAATATCTGTTATATTAGACAATACAAAAGATAAGCTAACCTGACTTGATAGGGGTAGCATTTAAGCATACCCCATAGCTCCTCAGCTAAACTAGAGTTGCATTCCAGTAAAGAAATAGAAGGTAGAAGAACTTCATCAACCAGAGTAAGAAAACCACACCAAACATTTTGAATCTGGGTCAAACACAATGCAAGAATATTATCAAATGAAATAACTAGGTAATTAAACAAATACACCATGCATTGTCAATGAATAAGACTCACATCTGGTGCCAATGAACTGTTGACTTTCTCTTCAAAAATTGATGGATGCTAAAAAATGATTAGAAATACTCAATTAGACARTATTATTATAACAAATGAAAATGTCTCGTCAATCATTTCCTTGAATATAATTTCTTTCTCTAGCAGCATTTTCTTTCTTTGCAAGCAAGAGACTTAAAGACATACTATACATACCTCTTTGAGGAATCCTTTACCAACACGAAGTATTTTAGCCATTAATATAGGATCACAGGAAAGGTAAGGCCCTAGACAGTTAAACATAGGGAAGACATCACGTAGTAGATCATTGTAGTTGCATACTTGCTGTGGACCCCCTGATACTGGAGCATATGGTCTGCCTCGTGCTGCTTTAGATGCATGCCTACAACATCATACATTCAAAAATCAATATTATGCACATTTCTAACATTTATTCAAAGTTACATGTATAATATTGCAAACCTGTTAATTTCATGCACTATGATTAGTCAATTTGCAGTTTATAACTTACAGTATGGACCTCACACTCAAGCAATAAGAGTTATWTTTTTAAAATAATACTTATCTGTTTGTCTCATAATCAAGGGTTTTTCTTAGAAGATGGTCTGTGGTCCTTTCTACAAATGACCCTCAATCATGAGAAAAAATAATAAGTATCATTAATTTAATATCTTACCTCCTATAAAGTGGTTCAATTGTAGAGTGAACAAGCTTGCATAAAGCCTGTGCAATTGGTTGATGACTAACTGTAGCATAATTAGGGAGCTTATCCATGATTGATTTTGCACTTCCCCAAGCACCAACCATGATTAATGCTTCACAAAAACCAAACTTTTGATTATTTGGAGCCTATAAACAAATATTGAAATATCATTTGTAAACTCGGTTCTATAGAGGTACCAACAAGATTTATTACTTGACAGAAAAAGTTTATTTATGAAGTAATCATATATCAATACACAAGTAATATGATGATAATCTTTTCATTATATCCCATCAGTATGGTTAGTAATCATTTGTGTAGTTAGTACATCAGTGATTTTGATTTAAACATCATTTGGGATATTAYTTAAAATAGTTCAACAATAGTAAAAACTTACAGTCTCAGGCTTCTCATTTTCTTTGTCTTTATCATTTTCCTTGCCCTCCTCATTATTATTAGCTGATTCCTTGAAGACAAGAATTCATGTATTAATGATGTAATAATTCACATCCAATACACTGCATTACAATACTCACTAGTAAGGACAGGATTGTGCTGGTCATCTTCTTTGCTTCTTGTTTGGCTTCTATAAGTGTCTTTTTACATGATGCTTCAATTTCACTGTCAGATGGGCTAAGCTGTGGAGTAGGTATAGCAAGGAAAGCATAAACTACCTTTCAAATGGTGCTTCACATCATTAAAGATGAGATAACAAGTAACTTACATGCAAATAGAGATCATCTAACTCTACTAATCCATGCTTAATAAGCAAAGCTGCCAAGTGAAATAAGGAAGAGGGGGTAGAAGCACCTGGTTGGTCCTGGAAGATAAACAATCAAGTAAATCAATTACTGATCATAAGCCTACAAATGTCACTGATGATATTTGTATGAGTAAGGAATGCTTATCCATAAGATTATATACTAATGCCACTATTATGATCAACTTGCACTGTAACTAGTCAGCCAACCACTAAACGATATTTTACCATTGTTATTATTATTGACCACTTACTGACACCATACTGTTATGTTACCAACAACCAGTGAGTAAACTAGTACAGATCGTGTTGGTGAAGTAATAAGATACTGTATAAGTGAATAAGTCCTACTGCAGTCCAGCATTATAAAAATTATGTTACCCATTGCCAAACAAACAGTAAACATACCTTATAAAACTGGAATTTAAAACCTAAAATTTGAAAGAGGGCAGCAGTTCCACTCTTTCCCATGTAGGACTTCAGTAGAGGAAGAAAGAAAGACTCCTTGCCAAGGTTACATTCAAAGCATTCTAGAATAATATCCAAAGTCCTGTTGGGGTCCAAGTGAAACTGGCCTGGTGGACAAATAAATTTATGATTATCAATCAACTAAAATTCTTGCTGTAATGAGCTATTCTTGATGCACAACTAACAAATTATACTAATAGCTCTTATACTGTATATTACCAATAAGTGACTTGATGTTTTTCAAGACAGATGAATGAGTGACATAACCACCAATTTCCTGAGCCAGTTCAACAATAAGCTTTGCGTATCCTTCACTCTCCTCTCTAAGAAGATTGTACTTCTGTTGTTTATAGCTGATTATTTAAAAAAATTAACATTATTTTAGTATAGACGAAATCAGGAGGAGAGCTCCTCAGCTCAGGTGAATATTTCCCATTTCAGACTATGTGTCATTCCCTTGAGAATAAAATTCTTTGTTTGAGTGGTATCCATAATGGTTAAACAAAGAAATGATATACTAGGGAATGACACATGGTCTGAAGTGGAAAAACATGCCYAAGCCAAGGAGGTCTTTTGATGTAATAATACAAATTTATTATCATTATGATCTAATCAAAATACAGAACATCTCAACAAGGAGGGAAAATCTTTGAMTTGGAATGTTACAATCCTTGATCATAGCTGGGTGACCTTATATAACTGTTGTTCATATTCATCTGTTAATATATGTACCATGATATGATAAATAGAAGTTCTCCTTACAAAAGCTTTGTCTTGGTTTTCACATATTTTTGGTTAAAAGCCTTCTGTGACTGGATAAGTCCAAGAGCATCTAGCGTCTCCACATCAAGCCTCTCTTTCAGCAGCACTTCAGGGATGACATTCTAAATACAATGAACATCAAGCAAATATAAAGCCACATATAAAGTATCTTTATAGTGTGATGGAATATGTACAGGGGGAAAAGATGCAAAAGAATAGTCACAAAAGAGCATTAAAATAAGTTTTAAAAGAACAGTGATAAAGATAAAACTTAAATGATATTTTACAACGTACCACAGACGCAGCAACTAGTGACAAGAATCTGTCCCTGTAGATCTTGTCCTCAAAACATTGGTTCTCTACATCTGTAGGTTTGCCAAAACAAGGGTAGAATACAGCACACAATCATATACACCTCCATCAGGAGCCATACTACTACAGTATCTACTATCAACTAAAAAGTCAGTAAAACAAAAGTAAATGAAGTAACAGCAACATGTTCTGGTACCCATTATGCAGATTAAGTCTGCCATCATTGAAACACTTGATGCATGAAGTCCCTGGAACAAACACAAAAACACAAACAATTAGATTGTAAATTCTAGGAACATAATCGTATTGCTGTACTTGTCATTTTAATTCACAGCGTAATTTACATTGAGTACATGAGGAAATAATGTAATTAAGGTTTTAATATAATAATTAAGTAGTAAATAATAACAAGTGTTTAAAGGAATTAAGAGAAAGAATATGGAGACATCTATTCATGTTTTAGTATCGATTGTATAGCTCACCTTGATCTCTGCTAATACAGCCAAGGCGTCTTCTGGCTTCAAGTCTCCTCGAATGACATGCCATAATAGCTCATAGACCACCCTCTTTAAATCTAATAACAGAAAACATGCTTAGGAAGTCCCTGATAACTATGTACAAGAAAACGAGCAGCTCCCTCACCTGTAACACCGCATAAAAAACTCGAGTCTGACAACCGACCATCTCGGTCCTTGGAACAGTTCTTACAAAGCTTAAAACTAAACAAAAACATTACATTAGAYACTTGAACAGATGTTAAACCTTGTAATACTAGTTTTTTTCTACTTACACTTCTTCTCGGCCATGTTTTTCCCAGTTTTTTACAAAACTCGTGGGAACAACTACATCCGCCATTTTATTCTCCGCATGGTTCGAAATATCCCGGATATCAGCGGTCATTTGATCGCGGGCACCTACAGCTAGCAACGCCTGACGGATATCGTTTAGGTTACGTTCAAAATATAATAAATAGATGCATGAAATAAGAGCTTTATGGCGCTGTTTGTACTACCAAAAACGTCTAARTAATGGGCTAGATTTAATGTCCAGGAAAAAGTATTCATGGATATCACAAATAAATGGCAATAAGCATGATCCTGTAAAGACTGTATTTACTCCAACAAAATGGGAGATCCAACGAGCTGAAAAACTATTTGATTCCATTGGAGGCAAAACTGTATTGGACGAGTCTGGTGTAAAGTTGAAGAAATTTACGAAACTGCAACAACTTCCTGAGGTATTTTTCAAAGYATCTTGTTTTAATGTATTATTTAGGGATAGCTGGAATCTATAGCCCCCCAATAATTTTACCGCCTWGTTGAATTACTTAATCATATAGCTATAATGCAATATATTGCAAATGCCCCTCAAAACACTGGGAAWTGCATTTTCGAGGGTCTCAATAGACCTTATTCGTAGCGTGACAATGTTTTCCCAATTCAGCGTGACGAATCTCCAGAGGATTAATTTTCTTATGTTTTCATTCTTCGAAAAATTCGTGAGTATCCCAAAGGATACGAAAGGATAATAACGATGATATCCCACGAGTTTCAAAACAATAGCTGTTCATTACCCTAGAGATCTGTCGTGTTCAATTAGGAAAAATTTGTCAAACCATGAATAAGGTCTATTTGAAACTTTTTCTGGGGAGGATACCCCTGAAACCCCTGGATGCTTCCACCTTCATTGTTCGTTAGTCCCCCCAATCAGAATTATGCTTCACGATAACTGTTATTGAAGAATGGGTAGCCATTTTGCAAGATTTTGGCTTTAAGCAGTATAATTTCTTTCAAATACTTAATTAGATTGCATTACTGGGGAGAACAAGTGTTGGAAAATCCTCTCTTATCAATGCATTATTACATCAAAAGAAGCTTGCGAAAACCTCGAAAACCCCTGTAAGTATTTTGGTACTAAAATATTTATCTTAAATTCTATTAAGTGCGATTTCRATATTCAGTGAACTCATAAATTTAAACAGCTAGTTGTTTAATGTTTCTTTTTGCGAGTCAAAAATACAAAATTATTATTATCATTGMCTGCAGCAAAAAAATTTAAACAGTTCACAAAGTATCAAAAAAATCAGGGAAAGAAACTAAATGATAACTGATAAGATAACTTTGAACAACAACCTTTTAACGTTATCAATTATGAAGTCAAAAATAGGAAACATTGAAAGTTAGATGATACATATGAAAAGTATACATGGGAAAACRTGATAGAGTGCAYGCACTAAACCCGTGAAACATATTTAGTACTAATTAGTAGTAATTCATACAGAATCCTTTGTTTCCTATTGYTTGATTATCACYATTTAGTACTAAAAATTAGTATTTGTTTCACGGGTTTAGTGCGAGCACTCTAACAAGAATAAAGGTTGGACAAAGCAGTTTAAAGCAGTTAATAGTATTAATAAACAATTTTGAACAGAGTCAACACTCTGTGTATTCAAACTWGGGGCTATGTTTTTCTGTGATGTAAAGCATTTCATAGACAAAAAATACRCTAATAAGTTAGTTTACTGTTTTATTGATAAAAAATTGTTACAATATTGAGCTATTGCAGTCATACATGTTCCTGTGGATTATACAGTTCACTGATGGAAAGAGATGTAGGAACTAGATTGAGATAGCCAACACTACAACTGATTTTTTTTTCTTTTGTTTTTGCAGGGTCATACAAGGTTGATTAATTATTTTAATGTGGGATCAAAGTTTTACCTGGTTGATCTGCCAGGGTATGGTTACGTTGAAGGTCAAGGACAAGGAAGTCAAAACTTTGTTAATATTGTTGAAAAATATTTGCAAGCAAGAACAGGCAAAGAGTAAGACCATATGCTTCAATAATCACCTAGCTAAGTGCTGTTTTTTCATCTTACAAGTTGTAATCGTTTTTCATTGATCTGATTCCTACTCTTAGATTGAGAAGTGTTTGTCTGCTAATTGATGGCAAAGTTGGCATTAAGAACAATGACCTAATTGCTGTGGAGATGCTTGAAGAAATGAATGCTTCATTTCATGTAAGAGGCTATTTCTTTGAATTTTTGTCATTTTCAAATTAAAAYTTTCTATTTTTGTGTTACCTGCAACGAGTATAAGGTAAAAAAAGTCCAATGATTTTTTTCTCTTGTCTCATGATAGGTTGTTGTGACTAAGATGGATAGAGTGAACAAGGAGTTTCATGATTTGATCACCAGACAAATCAACCAGGAAATCCAGAAACAATCAACACTGTGCTTTCCACACATATTTCCAGTCAGGTATWTGTAGCAGAATTATTATTTTTATTCAAGGTTGCTTTAACTAATCTTTAATTTAAGTCTTAATAAAGCATTAATTAAATGACAAAAAGGAAGTAAAACAATGAATTGCATATGTAATAAACAATTTGTTTTCTTTGTCCCTTATAGCTCAAAAGACAAGATTGGACTGTCGGAGCTGCGTTATTTCATTGCCTTATGCACTGGAATTTTTTTGAAATAGACATTATTTATACTCCTGCCTTATGAGTTAGTGTTTGTATATATAATAACATAAGAATGCCTGCTGGTGAATGGGCTAGCAAATGGATGCCTAAATATTGGACATTCCTTGAGGAAACATAAAAATTGTTTTTGCTTGAGTCTATTTTACTATAATTATAACTAACTACTAGAAATTGTTATATGGTATCTGGAAAATTAATTTTATATAAGAACAATATTGTTATTAATCTAATTGCTGCCCCCAAWGGTGCATTATAGCTTTAAACTTCCATTTAACTGAGTATACTAAGTAAACTTTTAGGTATAGAATTATTCTTACGCATATTGCCATTAAAACCACCTAATTCTAAGTAATATACTGGTTGTGTTATTCTAATTCTTCATATTCTTAGCAAATTCATGGCTGAATGACCAGTCSTTAGGCTGCCAGAAAGCAGCTAGTTGGGATTCATCTCTGTCAGTCCATGCAGTTAAAGTCTCTGTGTAGGTTTAATCACTGCATTTATTTAGGTCTTTGCTTTGTCATGGGTATTCTGGCTGGAATGACCTGCCATTGCCAGGAGGAAAACCAAARCCAGTCTCCACATTGCATTCAAAGTGCCACTCATTGTCATGGATATCTGGCTGCATGTCATGTATTTTCCAGGAAACAGCTGCATACAATCCAGCTCTGTCATGGATTTCAACAGAGGAAGCACTGTTGCCAGGAAGCACTGTTGCCAGGAGGCACTGCAACTTACATTTCAAGTTGATTTAAAGATGACCTCATGATGGATCACCACCTTCATTTTCATGCTTCGTGTATCCTGAGTTTTTGGAGAGTTGTCTTACATATGTCACTGCTTTCTTCAATGAATTGGATGCAGAACCTGACCCTGGGGCAAGAAGAAAGACTTGATTTTAACAATTAYGAATCCCATAGATTATATATGTATAATAATTATTACAAAAGTGTTCTTTATAACTAAAATGTCATCTACKTGAAAGCTCAATAGAATTTACCATTACCTACTTGAATAGAAAAACCAATATTCTACCTGTTACTTATCAAAAAGGATTGATGTGAATTTAGGATTATAAATTTTGGAAACTGGTTATATGGTTTCCATTCAGCAATTCCCACTTGCTGTTGGAGGTCAAAATGTTTCATTTGCTTTCTTTCTGAAAAGAGAGCAAACTTACTGTAAAGGTGCATGGGTTTATTGCACAAGAAACTTCATACTTATGCTAATATTTTGGAGGTTAGCACATAGTTTGAGTAAAAGATTCTGGTGTTTTGGATGTTGATAGTTCTTTATTGGCGTAAACGTTATTTACTTCAACAAAGGACTAATGTCCGAAATGTCAGTAAARCTATAATGTTTTACAGGGTGATTAGGTTGATCTTTCTTATTTACATGCTATATTCAACACAACTATACTTGTAACACTATAGTCTTTRTTTAATATAATCATAGACTTGAATATAGAGTATCATGCCACACTGTGATTGGTTGAGCAACCTAGTGATGATGAGATGATATTCATTGCTAGCAGTGACGATTATGACAGAGCAAAAGTAATACTAAAATTTTTTATCCTGAATTTCGACTTTTCTCTGATATTCAAGTCTAAAACTGTGCTAAAATGACTATTCATCTCAGGCTCAGTGAATATGGCAAGTCTTTTCTCGCTGCTCAAAGACTTGCTGCTCAATAAATATTTTCTGATATTCACTTTGCCATCAGAGAATAATGATTGTTAAATACACCTATTTCATAAAACTTTGTCGTCATCTAAGAAAAATGTCATTCGGACATGGTAATGGTACATTGAATGAGCCTCAATACTAAGTTATTCCAGCTATTCCTGGATCCTTGAATGACCCGCTTTCTCTTATCACTTTTCTTTGGCATTTATGGCAACCTTTTTTGAAATGGGAGTATGTATTACCTGTACTTCTAGCCGACTGATTGCTGATCTGTCTGTCAAGTTTCCTGTTGCTTTCATCAGGATTTTCCTTACCATTACRCAAATTATCTGCCAGCTTATCACTGGAGCCTTGTCGTGAATCATTAAGACCAAGATTTTTTTGTGGCCCTACTCYGTGATATGTCATATCATGAAAATGAACTCTGTCATGTGAAGATGATGATGGTTCTCCATTAARGTCATGACCATATCCACTGTCTCTTGCATCCACTTTTCTTCTCTCTTGTTCTTCACAACAGAGGTGATTCTCAAGCAAATCCACAATTCGATTCTGTTTTATTATTTTCATGAATTTACAGAAATGATAGACAGTGAGTTTTGTCTGGGATGCTTGGAGAAAATCAATTAGTTTCATTCCTCTACGATCAACTTCCTCTAATGAATTTATTTTCAGTGGCTCCATGCCATATTTTTCAGCAACTCTTTTCCAGTCACCAATACCAGGAGGTACAGAGGTTAACATGTCTGCAATTTTATCACATAACTCAAGCGAATTAATTTCATTGAAGTTTTTATACCCTAGAAATTAAAGAAATAAAATCAGTGAGTTCATGGGATGGGATGGGATAATTGGTTATTACTTGAAATGTTTCTCAACCACGTGAAATATGACATGTGGCAGCTCAACTAGGAAAAAAGCAGTTAAACTYATGAATAATTCATATGACTTAGGTTCAAACTTATATACTATAAATAAATGATGGATGTTTATGCTCCATAAATCAAAAATGAGCTACAAAATCTTATCAGCCAGCACCCCTGTCTTGAGAATGACACGCTGTCTTTAACTTATCGGAGACTTTTTGGACAGTGATGCACAAACTATCTATCAAAGTATAAGTTCATGTTTTTTAAGTATAGTTAAAAAAGATCATCTGCAGATCATGTTTTGTTAGGTCTAAAACAACTTAGGTAAACCAGCTTTTCTTGTGCTTAATTTACATCTCATAAGATTAAACTGTCAAGGTATTTTTTCAAATGCTACACATGAATTAGTTATATTTACTTTTGTTTAGTCCAGGAAGAACATCCAGGTCTAATTCAATGGCATTAGCACCTTGTTGAAGAGGATGCTGCCTGCACTTCACTTGACATGTGTACTTTCCAAAGTCTCTGACTTGAACACTATTAAACTCAATCTTTTCTCCATGGCAAGGATAATCCATCATATCTTTCTTCCATTCATAAATGTAATCAAAGCAGTAATTATCTTGTGTGTTACCCTGATTCTTACAAATAATTGATATCACTTTACCCTCTTGAATCTCATCTCCAGAAGTTAAGGGAGGATTTACCATTATAAGAAATGATGCCTTGCTAATTCCACAATCATTATTTCTGTTTTCAAGTGGTACTTGTTCAGTTGGACAACCACCAGATCTTTGCTTTCTAAGTTTTAAGAGCCACTTTAGAAAGAAAACCCCTGCAATAATTATTAAAATAATACCTCCAACTACACTTAGAGTAATAATAATAATATGAAGTGTCTTTTTCACTTTATCATCACCAGTGGAATCATCATCATTATTAGTGCTACTTGGATTCTTTGTTGTTTTAGGTGAGCACTCCAGTGAGTCATGTACAGAGCATTGTGACTGTACTGGTTGACCTGCACACTCAGCTATTCTCTTGTTATCTTTCYTACAGCAATAAGAACATGGCTGACAATTATATGTTGCATTATCATAATAACGTCCTCTTGCACAGTTTTTGGAACACTGGGTATTTGATTCAGCTGTGCAGTTTTTCAGTGTTACAGGACAGAWCTGACAAGATTTACATGAACTTGGTTCATGTTCGTCGGAGTACGTTTTTCCTGCTTCACAGGGGATGCATTTAATATTTGATCGCTGTGCTTCTGTCAACTTTATTCCACAAGATGGTGTGAGTCCACGACCAACAACGCATTGCTCACATGGTAAACATTCTACTTTATCTCTATTTTTATCAACAATGAAGTAATGATCTTTGGGACAATCTTGAGCACAGTTTGTATAAATAATCTGAAGAAGAAAAAAGAATCACAAAAATGTAAGCTTATTAAAGTCTCTTTACTTAGCAATGCATGGCAGTGGCTTCAAAAACACACCTACCCCTTGCGGAGGTTTTTATTGTCCTCCAACCCAAGACAACGATCAGCTAAGTAAAAGCAACAGGTTTTTTCTCATTAAATATTCGAGTTGAATAATCTCATCAAATTAAAGATGAGATCATTCTACAGCCTATTATGCAGAACTTTGAAAGCGGTTTTCATCTCCAACGGTTTCGGGTGGTTGAAGAGCTTTTTTGATTAATCAGCACATTCGTAATATTGCATAATTGCGATGCTTTTAAGCTTAAAAGTTTTCCGAGTTCTTTCTAACTTTTTCTTATATCAGATTTAGTTTTTCTCTATGTCAGAGAAACTTCGATCGAAGCTAATTTGCAGCATATAGAGGACATTTAACACAGTGGCGCGAAGATATTGAAGTTTATCTTCGCAGCGAACGATTGAAATATTTTTCAACATGAGAAAATAAACTTCAAATCTTCAAGCCAACGAGTAATTCTTTTATCATATAGACAAATCCACAAAGAACAACTACGCCAGTTAATCAAAACAGGTCCCAACGACACTGGTGGGCCTCTAACTATTACTGCGTTTACCTCACAAGCAAAACTTGATTACCCTTAAATATAATGATGTAGATAACGACTAGTTTTGGAACTAGTTTGGACTGCGTCGGTGTTTTTTAGTTGAARCAAATGTGTTGTAGTAGATAATTTTATCACCGTAAATACGAAAGATAATAGACTGACGTTTCGGACGTTAGTCCTTCGTCGGAGTCGATGACTCCGACGAAGGACTAACGTCCGAAACGTCAGTCTATTATCTTTCGGACTTAAATATAATGAGTAGATTTTTTATATAAAAAACATCAATTTTCTTTTAAATTGACTTAGCAAGGTCTATAATACGTAGATTAGCATGCGTACCTCGAGGGCCAAAATTGTTAGCGCCAAAATTGTCCTACACTTCATGATGTAAACTAGTTTTTCTTCGGTTTTCAATCGAGTKAAGACATTCTAGGAAGCCATCCAAGTCGATAACACAGGTCTTTCAAATCAAAATTTAGTAGTCATAAAAGTATATTAAATTGCAGTAGACACAGAAGTTTATATAACCTTCCATGATAGTTTTCCATGGTGTTTTGATCGCTTTACCGAATAAATAGCGCATGTCAAAAGTGTTAGGATATTACGGTAGATGACGTAATGTATGAACATGCACAGGCTTGCCTACTACAGGGAGCTCACAGAGAAACAAATKTGTTTCGTTTTTAAAACTTTGATCGATCGTAAAGTTTTTGAAAATTTCATATTTACTTCTATTGTAGTCCATCACATATATTATTGACCTTAGCATCATTGGCAGTCTATGATAACGGAAGCACCTTGAAGATTTTGGCGCGACGATGGTGAAGACTGACACGTTACCATGGACCCCGGATTTGAAAGTCAGGGGTTATAAATCAGTTACGCGTGATGCAACGTGTAAAWTGCCAAAATAACAAAACATGATTAGTCAGCACTATGCAACGATGCATTTTACTCACCAATTTTCTTTTGAAAGACTTGCGCAAAATAAGCAAATATACTAATTCGAACTGCACAGCCTTGAAACAAGAAGTTAAATTATTGGTTGTTGCTTCATGTATGACCACACGAATTGGCACTATCTTGGGGTTGTGTGTTGTGGTAGTGTTGCATCGTTCGGTGTCACCTTTAGTGATCCGTGTAGGTGCAGCACATGTAGTTGGTGTAATACCCGTAGTACCCGTGGTAGGTGTAGTAGGTGTAGTACCAGTAATACCTGTAGTATCTGTAGTAGATGTAGTATCCGTAGTACCTGTAGTACTGTAGTACCTGTAGTACTGTAGTACCTGTAGTACCTGTAGTACCTGTAGTACCTGTAGTACCTGTAGTACCTGTAGTAGGTGTAGTACCCGTAGTATCTGTAGTATCTGTAGTACCTGTAGTACCTGTAGTAGGTGTAGTATCTGTAGTAGGTGTAGTATCCGTAGTACCTGTAGTACCTGTAGTAGGTGTAGTATCTGTAGTAGGTGTAGTATCCGTAGTACCTGTAGTACCTGTAGTATCCGTAGTACCTGTAGTACCTGTAGTACCTGTAGTATCTGTAGTAGGTGTAGTAACTGTAGTAGGTGTAGTACCTGTAGTA